GCTGCATGGGCAGGTTGTGCTAATTTGATAAGAGCATCACCTTTGTTTAAAAAACATAAGCAAAACCCACGTATGGACCACTAGGGACCCCTGTTGTTTCTTTTGTAAATGGAAGACCCAGAAGGTGAACAGAGAGAAAGTGCCTCTCCAAATTTCCGTAAATTTCCATTGATCACTTCCACTTCAGCAGCATCATACCCTGGGTGTAGTTGGGGGTTTTAAAGCCTATGTGAAAAGAAATACATGAAGAAATCAAGTGACCGATATTAAAAAAACCCAAGTAATTAAATTCAGCAATTGCACAGGTTTGGACAGGCTTTTCCCACTTCCTATAAAACAGCAAAAATTGCCAGTGCTGGAGATGCCTGACTAGATGGACCAGAAGTTGGATCTTATGAAGTTAATCGTATATTCCCATGACCTACCCAATCAGAAAGAGTCAGGTATTGATTCTCTTACTTGTCTGAATGATACTTTATTCCAAAAATGCTTCTACTGAAGTCATTGGGACCACTATAGAATAAGGAGACTAATTATAATTTGGTCCACAGTTAATTGTTTTGTTACCTGGCGTGGAGGTGGAGGTTTGCCCTTGTTGACTGGTGAAAGAGCTGATTTCCCCCCTGTTGCCTGTGACAAAAAAGAGTTTTAAATGTTATTTATTTCCTTATTTATGTACTGTTATGATTTGTTCCTCTTCAGAAACAAGTGGCTACTAAATTGTCTCACCTATCTATTACAATATTTCCAGACAGGAAAGAAATAAATATATGGGAGATATGGGAGTGTACTTACAAAATCACCTGTGGCAGGAAAAAAGGCTGGTTTGCTTGTAGGAACTGGAGGTGGTGGAATGCTTGGCTTTATGATAGGCTGAAAAAGAAGAAAATAATGCTATGTTTACCCTGAACATCTCCATGTCTGCACATAAAGAGGAAACATGAAGACCTCTGTTCCTTAAGACAATGACAAGGATATTGCTAAAGAACAGCACTGAATTCAGAATAACCCCAATTTAAATAGACTAGTGATGTATTCCTAACTGCTGAAGTCAACTAGATTTTTGCCATTCATTTCACGGAGCAGGATTTCACCCTAGTTTTTCTAAAACCCCTTATTAGGATATTAACCCATTTTGGTGTTTGGCTTTCTATTGGATCCTTTCTCTGAGGTCTGCTAAGAAAGTAGGAATAAATTACAGTGTTAGTGGCATGGGACAAAAATGTGATTTACAGTTTTCTAGCAAGCTATACATTTGAGATTTCAAATAAACCTTGAAAGGTTCCTTACCAAATATTAAAATTAATAGAAAAAAATCTATAAATATCCTTACTCGATGAAAGTTTGGTTTGTTTTCCTGTGCTGGAGGTACGGGAAGGAGAACTCTTGTATCATTGAACTAAAAACAGAAAACATTGAAATTAAACTTGATCCTTGCTGGTTTAAGTTAAATCAGACTCCCCCAGAATCCCGGTATGCTCTCTGCACTAGGCAGGGCTCTCCGCTCCACAGCAGGGCTGGCCTGTCCCCTCTCCTCCCTTGCTGCAGCTCTGGCAGAAACTGTAGGCATCTGCATGGCTTGTGCTCCCCACCTCCCCTCTATGCAGGGATTGCCCCGTCCCCTTTGCCTTACACAGATACACAGCATGAGCTAGCAGCCACTTGTTGGCTACGGTCTGTGCTGTGGCAGACAGGACAAAGGCAGAATCAACAGGTAGCTGGTAATGTCCCTTTGTTGTTTTCTTAATGGGGTGATAAACACTGAGTTAGGGGTGATAAACCTTGTGTTATCAATTCCCTGCTGGGCTGCTCAGGAGGGGGGAACCCCTCCCTACTCAGAGCATCCTGCAGGGGCTTAGCCACATCCCCCTCAGTTCAGCACTATGAAAGGGAAGGAAGGGCTGCTCTAGCACCCCCCGGCTTCTAGCCTAAGCCACTGCAGGCATGTGCCAGCATTTTTTCAGTGCAGAAAGGATGTCTGTAGGGTTACAAACTGGTTTAGCCTAGCCAGGTTAGACTAACTTGCAAAGATTGAGTCGATTTCAGGCTCAGGCTTTTTAAATGTCTGTCCCTAGCCCGTGTGAACTGTCCTTTAACCTATTTTGTTTATTAGTTTTGCTTTACAACCACCCAATCCAGACTTAACCAAAGCACAGAAATGAGACTTGGAGTTACTGGATCTGGATCCCACTTTTTTTCCAGATTTGGGAACAGAAGATGCAGGGCAGGAGCCTGAATGCCATAACTGTTTTCATACCACTATGTGAATGTTTAGACATAGGCTCTTATTTAGTAAAGATAACATACCATACAAGGTGAGTTTTGCTGTTTTAGTATCTCTATTACAATCATGAGAGACAAGATCCTACTCCACCTATTAGATGCCTTAGTAGACTCGGGCACATATGTATGATTTATGATTCAGTTTCCATGTGCATGATTGTGTTCTACCCTGTTCAAGTACTTGAAAACTATTAACATAAAATGTAGATGGATCTTCATCCCGTGCAAAGATGGTGGCATGCTACAAAAGTCAGACATGGCTTGTTAGGGGCTTGAAACAGAGTGGAGTAGGATCACATTTACATGCCCAAAGCCATGTAGGTGCTTGGTACGTGGAATAGGATCCGACCTCATAGGTGTTAGTTGGTCAGTCTATAACCCAATCGTGCTTCTAGCTTCTTACCTTCTGGATAGGCACGTTGGGGGCAGGATGTTCTTTTCTTCTTGGTTCTTGCCCTCCATAGGCTTGGTTTGTGGCTCCAGATATAGCTGGCTCCTGGGTACTACAAAGGAATTGCACATGAATTAGGATTTTCACTTGAGTGTGTGCATCTAATCTCAATCCCCTTTAAAAAAAGACATGAAATCCTGGAAAATTTTCCATGAATGGCTAGCATTCAGTACCTGGCTTGTTACCTCATTACTGTTTGCTCAACACTTATTAAGTAATTTACTTTCCCCTCCTCCTCCACTCCCCCCAAAGAGCACTGTATGAATGTTAATTAATCCTGAGAGGTAGGGGTGACACCAGGTCAATTTCTGATGATCTGGTGGTTGAAAATTCCACTTTCTTTCTGGACACTCAGGCTTTCGAAGAAGCCAAATGAAGTTAAGAAACCAATTCCCTCTGATTTGAGGTGGTTTATCGCTTTTCTGCTCTATTAAAGCTCCTATCTGAAGTCTGTTCCAGATACTTCTCAAAAGCGTGAATGCTTTACCTCTGATATTTCTTCTTCTCACTTTTTTGGTAACGGATGAATAAAGCAACCAGTATGGCAATAACTGTGAGGGCTGCCAAGACACCAGAAATGATGGCGATACCTGCCGTAGTAATACAGTGCAAAGTGATTATTTCCAAACAACATCAAGAGACGGCAGATGCACATATTACTCAAGAGGGACATAGTCACAGTCCCAAATTCTCCATCAGAAGGGCCTTTCTGGAGCTTAAAGATAGAAGCCTTCCCACTGTGAAGACACTGTCTCTCTCCCCCGCATCCCTCCCTCCCTCCCTCTCTCCCTATCTCATAGATGCATGACCCCTATAGGGGTATCAGGACTACCAAATTGCTCTAGCCTTTCAAATAAGCAGCTCTGACTAAAGACAGACAGAGAGCATATATTCAAAGAAAGAAATTCCTGTACTTGGGGTTGGATCTACAGCTGGTATCAATCAATGTTGTTTCACTTAATGGCACTATGCTGCTTGTATTGCATCTGGATGCAGTCTCTATTCTGAGCAATCTCTCACTCGATGGTACAAGATTATTGCAAGGTCCTCACTTTTAACTGTTGTGGAGTCTTCACAGTTTGGTGGGGCCCAGCCTTCTTCACACTGGCACTCCAGTTCATGGTTGCACACCTAGAGAAGGAGAAATCTAGTATTGGTCTTTAAATTGGAGAAAAGGATGAAAACAACGTTGGCTGAATACTATCAGAGCTCACAAAAAATTATGGTTGCCCATCCAATTAAAAACAAGCCAAGTTCCTTTTCTCATTTGTTGGTTCCTCTGAATACAGTATAAAAATCACCATTCATTTTAATTGAACCAGGGTTTGGCTCACATAATAGTAGTATATCACATGGCCATTTCTCTACTGTCTTGTGCCTTCTGCAGTCATGTACCCTTAGTAAAGGGTAAAATACACATACATTTGGATTGGCCTTTATTTTTACACAAGTGTAAATAACAGCACAAGATGACGGGCCTTGGAATCAGGTCCTCTATCTGTAACCCTCTAGGTACTTGAAAAGGGAGGGCAGGCATGATAATTCCCACTGTATGGATGGAGCTTGCAAGTCCCAGAGAAACAATTTTGGGAAGTGTTATACCTGAAGTCAGTTGCAGAACCCCAAGGGTTGAACAAGGACCCTGTCTTCTAGTCCCATTTGCTATTCAGTGATGAGGCTGTAGTTTAAAACCATTTACCCCTTTACTCCATGCATTTTCCTTAGCAAAAGTCCTCATACATTGTTAGGTTATATTTACTCCCATGAAATTATAGGAAGCTTTAACTCCAAGATTCGTTTTTCCTGGGTTCTTCCCTTTGATCACAAACTCCCAACCCTTTGGTTTATAAGAACAAACAAACATAAATCCTCCCATAATCATTATTAGAACATCACAGCTGGGCTGTTCACATGCAAGAGTGCGTGGGTGTGTATGTATCAGTATTTGTAGTAAGAGCTAAAATCTTACAGCATGTCCTCTACACTTGGCAGAACAGTTTGTTGACCTGTAGGCTCTCTCAACATCAAGACATATGCCATTGCTACACACCTGAAATTCAAAGCACACATGATCAGCAAGAAGGAACTTTCAGCTTTCATAACCTGCTCTTAATTGCAAAAGGAAAACAAGTGATGAATTGAGTAACTAACCATGCCATTGCCACATTTAGTTCCATTATCGACTAAGCTTATATCTTCTTTTTCAAAGTGAGGAACACTGCTTTTGCATGAGTCAAAAGACACATAGGCTCCAACCACGGGCATGTCTGCTCCACCAGTACAGAATAACTTCCCGCACATTTTATCTCTGTGTAGAAACAAAAGAGTTCATTGGCTAGAATAGTGAGGAAGCACACTTATTGAATGTTAACGGGGGGAGCATCTGTTCACTAAGGCCCCCCCAGGGGAGGACAAGAAACAACGAGCACAAACTGATAGAAGATCGATTCAGGCTAGACATAAGGAAAAACTTTACAAGTTGAGTGCTGAGAGTTTGGAACAGGCTCCCCCCAGAGGTGGTACAGATATCCACCCTGGCGATCTTCAAAAAGTGTCTTGACTCCCACCTTGCTGGGGTCATCTGACCCCAGCAGTCTTTCCTGCCCAAGGGCAGGGGGGCTGGACCTAATGATCTGTAAGGTCCCTTCCAACTGCTAACAACTATAAACCTCTTTTACCTAATACCAAATCCCTGTGTCTGCATACAGACTTGAAATTGAAATCACTAGAAGTGAGCTATATTCTGGGATATTTTGATTCCAGTTTGTAAACAAGCCTGGTGCTCAGTTCCTTCTGGCTGCACCGAGGAGTAGCTGACACTTACACTACTTAGCTGGATTAAATGAACTGAGCCCAGTTTCTGCTTCTCTTGCTGTTCATTGGTCTGTTGAAAAGCTCGTTGAAAAGCTCTGCCCCCTCTCCAACACTCAATTACCCAGTTTCGTACAAACACAAGTAAAATTACCTTTTCGTACACACACAGGCATACTGCATTTCAAAGCCATGTTTCAAGCATATAGGCTCAATCCTTTTTTGCTTTTACTATACTGCATTAGACTCACTTTCCCCAAAGAACTGCATTTAGAAAATATACTTCTCTCTTGCAATAAGCAGCTAACCTCCTTTACTGGAATATCCTGGTTAAAAACATAAACACAAAGCAGCCTCCGTAGAGTTCTCCTTTCCCGCATCATTCTAGCGTCATGAATTGCTTCTCTTTCCTAGAACCCCACTAATGGCAATGAGGTAACAACTTACTTGTCAGCACATGGAAGGAATTTGTTATTTTCCTTTTTACAGTATCCATAATAAACCCCGTCCCTATTTGTATCGTAGCAGTTTTTCGCAGCTACCTGTCCACCTGGGGAGGAGAAAAATGAGATGAAGTCATAAAAAGTAAGGGAAAAAATATGCCATGAGTCATAACCTCTGTTCCTCATGATCTGTAGGCTTCATCAGTTGAAGAAATGACACATCCTGCTGGAGAAATAACCCTCACTTTGAAGTGACAGGTAACACATGCATCTAATTGTATTTGCAGTGGTGCTTCACTCCACTGAATCATGCATTGCTATTACTTGAATAACAGTAGCACTAAGGATGTGAGGTACTGGGTGTCAGGAGAGCAATCTGGATTTTTGTCTTTTAAATACCACGAATAAAGGTTCTCTAGTCAGGACCTAACGTTGAATTTGATGATAGTATGCAGTGGCATTTGTCTCCCCGTCTCTGCCAGTTCTGTGGTGTGTTAAGCAAATATGAGGAATGATAATCATCTCTGCCTCAATGTGTTTTCCTCTCTTATCAAGCAAAGACTCTCCACCCTACCGGTTATCTTGATGTGAAGCTGTCTTACTAAGATTACTAAGTAGCTATCTTACTAACTAAGAATTGCTTTCCAACTTCCTCTTTCTCCAGATACGTCTATTGAATTGTCTCTGTGCAGTGTGGTACCAAGGTCGTGAAACTGATAGGGATCACCTGATGCATAAAAATAATGTTAACCATGCTCTAAAGACTGGAATTGCATCTTTAAAGCTTTTATTTTCTTGGAGGAGGCACCACTTGTACAATAAACCAGCTACAAATTTTGAGAAGTCTGCTATCGATATAGTTTCAGTCTATCACCATTGGACTCTTCTTTGTTTTTGGAGGAGTGGGGAATGGGGGACGAGATAAAGCATTTAGGGTCAGAAGAGCTTGAGACAGTTTCTGAATCTGATTCATGTTTGGACACTTAAAAGATTTAGGAGCTCAACTCTCTTTGAAATTCAGTTATATTTGGGTGCTTATTTTAGTCACAAAGATAAAAAAGCTGTATTATTATTTCCACAATACACATTCTTTTTCAGAGGCATCTGTGGCCTTTGTCTTCCAGTGTATATCCCCATGGAGAAGAAGATTAAATACTTTCTCCAAAGAAAGAAATCTTTAAACAGTGGTCTCATGCTTTATAAACATTTCCTGCCATGCTGAGAAACTGGTCATTGTCTGCTTTGAGAAACAATAAGTTCATCCTGACAATAAAAAGGACTCACTGTAAGATAGGCACTTTTTTATTTTTATGGAATATGTCTATTGGTTTCTGTGAAAGGTGAAATTCAAAGACACCAGGCCTGTGCCTTTACAACTTCATAGCACAGTTATATAGACATATGGGGCATGTCCAAACAAGTGCGCACATGTGGTTTGCAGCACCACAGACCCATCTGCAGTGCTACAAACTGCACATGCAAGCATTTGCTGCACTGCTAATTTGCAGCACAGCAGGGTTTTTTTGACACTGGGAGATCTTGGTGTTAAAAAAAAAACCAAAACCTGCACCGAAAAAACAAATGGGCGCTGCTTGAAACAGGAGCCTGGCTGGCTGGAGCCACATTCCAGCTGCTGGCCAGGCTCTGTGCACCCAGATTGTAGCTGCTGGAGCCCCAGGAGGCCCCCAGGGAATGCTGCTGGCCCCAGCCTCCCATACCCCACATGGGGCAACTTTCCATGTGCCACAATGAATTTGCATGGGTGTTTCCTGAGCACAAGTAGCAGCGGCACAACTATGCACTGTTGCTATTTGTCCCTGGGGAAGCACATGTGAGCACTCATCTGGATGTACCCATAGGTGTCTGTTCTTGAAATGTGTATGATAACCTGCTCTACAGCAAGAAGAATTTATTTCAAACCCTTTGGTCTCCACAATTTGATTCTTTCTTTGTGAACCCATCCACTCACCTGATCCCCAGATTTTGATGCATTGGTCAGCCTGGGTGGGGCATTTCCCCATGTAGCAGTAACCTTGACCGTTTTTACAAGGGTGCCCATTCACTCGAAATCGATCCTTTGGACACTGCTGGGATTGACCAGTGCATGTCTCAGCTAGGTCACACTCGTCTTTGGCTGCTCGGCAAATACTTCCTCCTTTTTTAACCTGCAGCAGAGAGAAAAGGCAGTAGATTTAGCCATTCCACTCCTTCATATTTAAAATATGAATGAATATGACCTGAAAACTCTAATGGCATGAAGAGGCCCATACCGCACACTAAATTCAAGGGTTTGGTGTCTAGCACTTCTGAAAACCAGGCCACATGAGACCGGTTGTGTAATCCTTCCTTTTAGATATCTTTCACTGAAGACAGAATTTTATCTCCAGTCAAACTTCTGCATGCCTACAGACTGCAGGATTAGGCTCCTTCCATGAGCTTGCTTATCAGTGTCAGCAGAAGCCTTCCTGTAAGCTCACCACTGCCAGCTACAGAAGGCTTTTACTGAATCATTTTAAAGGGACATCAGCCGTTGCATTGAAACACTTAAAACAATATCACAGGAGAGGATTATTTCAGCACAGAAAATGTATTTGCTGACTTGAATTATTTCCAGTGAGATATCCCTGGTTAAGCAGCTATGGCCATTTTGCACAAGGCTAGAAAAATATACTTTGCTGAATACCAAACTCTGGACATCAGAGATACATTAGATGCAAAACAATGGAGGTAGCACACTGGTGCATTTGGTTAACAAGTATGGCATCAGTCTGTACTATATAGAAAAAGGGACTTACACAGGGCCAGCTCTGGAGCATGTGCACAACTTGCTGGCAGTGATATACGGAGCATCACCTCTACCCCCTGCCCCAGGGCTCATCTTGGTTATGGGGCTGCTGCCACCAGAGCTGTGGCAAAATGCCCCTTCATGGGGGGACAGATGTGTCCCTTCCCACCCCGCAAATGTTTGCACCACCCATCTGAATGACATTTGTGAATCTGGTAGAACTTCCTTTGGCTAGTATAACTGCATCAAAATGTGTGTGTGTGTGTGACTGGGGGAGAAAGGGAGGGTTTGCTGGCATGGTTTCCCTGGCTAAGAGGTCTGATCTTTTCACGCTGCCTGCAAAACGGAGCTATTATACTGACAAACCCTTGTCACATAGACCAGTTGCCGTGCGTCCTTTCTTGTTCGTATCTCACTGTGTAATGTCCCGTCTGGATTTGAATCTGCTTGGAGCAGAGACCTGTTGTTATTTCTTTGTCTTTAATAAAGTGCTGTTCTCACATGACTTAATAGGAAGGAAATGAGCAGCTCTGTGGTTGAGGATAGATGTGGGATGTATCTTATTTCCCATTTCTGCCTCAGACTTACTGTATGAATTACAGTAACTGCCTGGGTGAAATCCTCATCTGGGGTTAGGCCTGCTTACACTTTCTTCTAAGACTTGTCTGTTTGCACCAGCTGAGGATCTGGCTGGTGGGAATATCAGTTTCCCAAAACCTGTCCAGGGAAACTGAACAAAACAATGGGCAGTGCTCAGGAGTTCTGAGAGACCAAATTAATTTCTGTGGAGTACTTTGAAAAACCCCAGTAAAAAATGCTTGGGATACGCAAGGCCTGGTTATTATTATGATGCTACCACAGTGAAAAATGCTAACAGCCATAGTTCCATTTTACAAGTGTCTTGTTGTTTGACTCAACACCCCAAAAACCTTGAGTAACTGCAGAATAAATGTGAATGAAGAAGCATCTCACTTGGCAGTTTTCACAGCACTCTCCATATCCACATGCAGCGTTTGGCTTCAGTTTACATGTTGCGGCTTCACAGCAGACATTTGTGCATTCCTGTGAAATGTTCATAGATAAAATTACTGGTACAGCACAATGCTTCGTATTTTGGTTCCCCTATAGCACACCTAGTATTAGCACGTTCTCAGTAGGACAGCCTGGTACTAGCTTAGAGAGACCAAGAGATGGATCTGTGCAATACAACTGCATCACAAATATTTTTGTACAGTGAAGAAATCTGATCCTAAACGTTCTTAGCTGCTGTGTGGTTAATTATGAAACTACAGGATTGAGAAAACTGCTGATTGTATTCCTTCCCATAAGACATTTCTACCTTATTCTGACATAACCAGCGTACAATTTATTCTGGACTCAACATTCAGTTCTATTCAGAACAGATATTGGCTATATAGCATTGCAGATGGCAAGTGACTGCTGATCAAGTGGACATATCCAAGCTTGTTATAATTTAGCTAGCTTGAGTTCACACAGCAGTGTGACTCTAGCAGCCCAGGTATCAACTGTCAAGTAATTACTTTAAGAGTGGGATGGGATGGGGTAGCTCTCATGGAGGCCTATGCTGCTGTGCTAGGTGACCTAGTTTAAAGCTAGCTTGGGTTTCTCTATACAAGATGCAATCCAGTGTCTGGATTGCTGTGTAGATATACCCATCATTTTGACATGGGTTCCTTTTAGAATGGTTGAAATACATTTCCATATGAGTTTTTAGACTGCACTATATTTTGGCTTATGATATTTGCTTGAATACTCCATGGAGAATTGCTGGTAGTGCCGATTGTAGAAATTGGAGAGAGCAAGGAAGGTGCTTCCATGAACTAATGACCATTTATGTCTACCCTAATTCTTCTAGATTTAAATCAGAAACATGCAAAGCTTACCAAAATTAAATTCTTTACTGAACTCAGGGTTATTCAAAGATTAATTAGATGTCACCTGAGGATCCATTCACTGAAGATTCACTTTTGCAAAGCGAGTAGCCTGCCTGTCTATGGGGTCCTGCATTTCTCAGGGCAGAAGACAAAGGGCCTGATTTCCAGTAGCACTGGAGTCCCTTTATTCCACCCTCAAGTTACAGAAAGCTTCAGATGTCTCTCAAGACTTCTAGTAATCAGGACTTATTGTACAACAATAAGGTGATTTTGTAAATATCTATCAAAATGTAGGTTATGTTCAAAGCCCCCGAGCTTCTGTGGTGTTACTTATATGTACAATATTTTTCAAAACTATTCCTGCATACCTCAGGAGTTCCACAGTCACAGTCCTCTCCTTCCTCTATGAAGTTATTCCCACAAACAGGGGGTGCTACTATGTTTTGTTGTTCAGGAACATTGAGGAGACAGGGTGGCATCTTGCTCAAAATATATTGCTCGTACCCTTGCAGGCTGCATGAGCTGAATTCCCTGGGAATTTTGTAGCTGTAGAGATGAACCAACATGTTTCAATTATTGCCAAGAGTATAGCTGTGAAAAGTACTGCAATTTGGAATCTGAATGAAATGAAGGCCCTAACCCAGTTAGTCACCTATAGGATACTTTTCACAAACTCAGTAAGTAAAATTTCTAAGTTTTAAAAATATTTTGGGAGGGAAAAGTTTAAAAAGGTAACCATTTTAGAGGTAATGAACACCCTACAGAAATCATCTCTATTTCCTGGGGCATTACAAAATGGTAGCAGGGTCACCCTTAGAAGCTCAGCTTTTCCCTACTATTGTCCCATGGCAGCAAGATTAATTAGTTATTTTTCAAACTCAGCTCTGAATAGCCTATCCAGTTACTATTATTAACAAAAGAAAAAAAAATCCTCAACCACTCTTTAGACATAGGAGAAAGAGCAAATGAGCAGATAAGAAAAAGAGAAGTAAGTAAAGTATGCAGAGTTTCCAAGAAAATCCGTGCGGAAACATCAAAACAGAGAGTGGGAGTCACAATAGAGTGGCACGCATCTAGAATGTTTCAGTATGGGTTACATGAACATTATTCATCTGGGACCTGTTCCAAAGCCCATTTAAATCATCAGGAATTTTTCTGTTGACTTCGATTGGCACTGAATCAACACAGTATCGATGGGTTTCCTGGAAAAAATGCAGCAAGCCCATTTTAATAAAATGCAGATAGGTTGCCTAAGAGAAAAGTAGGGTATTTGCTTAATGTGTTTTAACTCAAGTTATATCAAATTGTACTGGGAACCTCAGGATGCTTGACGTGTGCTTATTGGAAGTGCAAGTTTCACTTTATAAAATAAAGCCACTGTTTTAATTGCAAAGTCCACTTTCAGGATATGAAAAAAATGCATGTCTTGCACAGATTGGGTAAGTTCTGTCTCACCACAAGGCATCACAGAAGTATTCACAAGATTCATGGTTTCTGGGTTCTTCATTTCACAGGAAGAAACAGTTATTTTAATCATTTATAGATGAGCCTTTATCAGCAGGACACGAACATCACAAGGATGTTCTGTCTGCCATTGTGAGTTTTGACTGCTTCCATTTCAAACAGTCCCAGCTTGAGGGACACTAACAGGACCTGTATTTCAAAAAGCCATTGCCTGAGCTCTTTCTGAAATCAGGCCTTTCTAGGAAATCCCCAGTTGCACACACACAGAAGAAGGCACATAAAATCACTAGTCTGTTTTTAAAATGGTAGGTTCAAACCCTTATGCAGTGCTCTGGGAAGCAAATAAAAATACTTCACTGACCTCAAGGGATTTGGATTAGGCCCACAATTAACTACAGCTATATTAATTTAATGCAATCACAAACTCTGCTGGTCTGCAAATGTAAAAGCTTCACCTGAGTGTTGCTGTCATGATACAAGATTCAGAATTGCATTTGCACTGGCTGGTGTCATGATTCATGCCAAGGTTATGGCCCATCTCATGTGCTACAGTTGCTCCAACTGCAATTGGATTGCTGTTATGGTCCTGTGACAAAGGGAACAAACAGATAGTTCTACAAAGTTGTTACTATGTATAGAAGGGGGGGGCGGCGGGAGGAGAATGAAAAACTGAATAACTAAGAAGTAGGAATTCCCATATATGTGTGTGTGTCTATGAGGCCTGTGTGAAGCAGCTAGTATTTGCTTCGGATTTGGCCGATTTGAGGGACAGTGGTTCGATTCGGTGATTCGAATTACTGTCCCAAATCGATTTCGCTGAATCTGATTCAGAGGTTTGGCTGCTCCTGAATATGCGAATCTCCGAATCAGCCAAGCCCATCCCCGCAACCTGGTAATGGCTTTCCTGCCCACCCCAGCTCCCGGCTCTTTGAAACACCCCACAACTCACCGGGTGCTGCCGGGGTGGGTGGGGGGGAATCCCCGCTGCCAGCACTGCCCCATGCTGCATGGGGGACTCTTCACAAGCCCCCCGACCCCACTCTTGCTTCCCCAGGCCCTCACGGGTGCCCCACCTAGGCCAGTTACAGCCCTTTAAGAAAAAAAAAAATGAGAAAATCTCTGCACTCACTGTTTCTGCCAGTGGGGGCAGTCCCTGCTGCCCTGCACCATGTGGGGGGCTCTACACGAGCTCCCTGAATCCTAAGTGGAGGGCAGCAGGGATCGCCCACCCCCCCCACACACACACACACCCGGCAGCACCTGGTGAGCTCCGGGGCTTTTTTTTAAAACACCGGGAGCTGGGGCAGCCGTGGCGGGGGGGGGGG